ACAACGAATCGAAGCGAATTTAATTGTTCTTGGGCCCTATTTTAACGCACAGCAGCCAACCAAGCAGCAGCATGCAAGTAAATCCAAAAATGCTGATGTCAACGCATCTTATATTTTTTTGAAAGTAAAAAAAGTTGTAGCTTCTAACTCCTAAACCAAGTATCCTAATTAAAATCCGATTGCACCATTGTGTTCCTGACAATAAACTCTTTAAAACAAGACCCCCACATGGATATATTTTGATAATTTTTTTAACGAACATTTATCTCATGATGAACCTGTATTTAAAGATAATCGTCGAACATCACATTAACACTACACGAACATCGCAGAAAATACCATAGAACATCATATGTATACTACGCGAACATTATATATATCATAAAATATAAAAAAATAAAAAAATAGTGAAGTAATTAAGTATAGTCAAATAAAAAAAGAAAAGAATACTACCGAACATCACAAATACATCGTAGAACATCTTATTAAGACTAAACGAACGTCACTAAATATTGCATTGAACATCATATATATACTACGCGAACATCACAAATACATCGTAGAACATCACATTAAGACTACACGAACATCGCTAAATATAGCATAGAACATCATATGTATACTACGCGAACATCACAAATACATTGTAGAACATCATATTAAAACTACACAAACATCACTAAATATAGCATAGAACATCATATGTATACTACGTAAACATCGCAAATATCATGAAAATATAAAATAAAATAATAAATTAGTGAAGTTATTAATTAGAGTCAAATAAAAAGAAAAAAAATGCTACCGAACATCACAAAATATATTCTAGAACATTAATGTATGCTTACTGAGCATCATAAAATATATCGTAGAACATCATATTTCTACTCGTAGACATTAAAAATACATAATAAAACATTACATATATACTAAATGATCATCACGTGTATCTGTAAATTTAAAAAGTGAAACATACAATTATAAATAGAAAAAAGAAAAGGAAAATAAAAAAAGAATAAGATACGAAAATAGAAAAAGGAAGCAAAAAGAATAATAAAAGAGCGCCAAAAAAGGAAAATATAAAAAGAAAGAAAAAAAAGAAATAGAAGAAAATAAAATAAAAATTTAAAAAGAATAAAAGATGAAAAGAAAGAAAAATAAAAAAGATAACAAAAATAACAAAAGGCCACGTACAAAAGAAAAATAAAAAAGGAAAAGAAAAACTGGTACAAGGAAATAAAAGAAAATTAAAAAATAAAAAGAAACGATAAAACAAAACAGAGAAAAGAAAAATGGAAAAGAAAAGAAAAAAAGAAAAAAGAAAAAAGAAAAAAGAAAAGAAAAACTCACCTACCGAGAGAGCTACGGAACGACGCGAATTGAAGAAGCGGCAATAGTGGGATCACCTGTATGTGGGACGCAACCTGGCCCACACGCTCCTTTGTGCCGTCAGACGGCCTGTTCGCTGATTGATTTCTAGGCTGGTTTAGGCTGACTGGTGCTAGTTTGTTATGAGAAAAAAATACTGTTACCTGACTGATTTAGACTGGCTAAAACCAACAGACGAACAGAAAATCTGATCGCGCACGAAATCAAAAAAAGAATCTAATCGCGCACGCGGGGTTGGAAAGGGGTCGGCAGGCGGCTCCTGTCCGACTAGTCGGCAGGGAAGGTTTCCGCAACGAATCCGGGGCCAGGATCCCGCCCGTCGACTTGAAGAAGCTCAATGGGCCGGAGCGCCTGAAGGTGTTGGAGGCCGACGGCAACGACGCCGTTTTTACGGCCCATTCGTTCGATCACGGGGCCCGTCGCGCGGTCGCCCAGGTCGACAGGCCCTCGCCCAGGCTCACGTGGCTGGCGCTGGCATCTAGATACATTTGCAGTTTCTCAAAAAAGAAAAGATACATTTGCTTCTATATATTTATTTTATTATTGTTCTTCTAACGATCGTCTGCCGTTTGGAGTGGTGGCTGTTCTTCTCTACGCACGTCCACAAGAAGCGCTCTACGCTCCGCTCACCTCCTCGCCTCTTCGGCGCCAGCAGGCCGATATTATTGTTCTAAGGTTAACAGTTACTCCCTTCGTCCCAAAATATTTATATTTCTAAAAATATTTATATTTCTAGGTTGTGGCACAAAAACCAATGATAGAAGCAAAATGACGATAATACCTAGAAAGTCTGGCACAAGCGCAAACTGCCACCTGCCGCATCCAAGCTCCAGCCATGCATGCGCAGGAGAGGACCCTTTTTTTTAATGAACCAGGGATGCTTTGGTACGGACTCATGAGTATGTGGACGGTAGCATTGCCTCACTAGTGTCTGAACAAACGTGGAGCTTCTAGAAACAGTTAAAATACTGCTGGTGCCTGATAACAGTCAGTACTACACTACTACTACGTGATGTGATAGCCTATGCGTGCATCTAAAGCGTAAATTCGTTGTGGCCAGCTCGCGAGGCTAATATGTCCACGGTAGCAAAATTTTTTTTTACCCGTCTGATCCGTGATCTGTGGTTCTTGTGCCGTTTTGTCCGTATGCCCAAAACCGTTGTTCAACGAACCGGCTGTGCGGTCAGCGCCCAGTCCGTTGTCGTCGCCAGATTGGGTGCCTCAGGCCGCTGTCGTGTGCTCATTGGCGAGAAGGCGCTGGGTCCATCTGGCGGTTGCCTGCGCGCGCCTGCCGCTGCAGTTGCTGCTACGGTGCGAGTCGGCCCCCACGCCATGGCCTCCGCACGTCAGTTGGGCCTCCACGGTATGGAGCTTGCACGGGGCTCTTTTTTTTGTTGTCGTCTGCTTATTGGCTTAGCACTAAGTGGTCCACTGGTCGGCTTCTTAGATCATATGCCGGGTTTCTCGGTACTTTTGGGCTGGGTTCGGTGGGACTGGGAATATGCAGCGGCGCTTGCGATTGCCGACCCTGTGTCGCTGCCGGTGGGGCCGGCTTCCTTCGCATGCAGCGTCTCCTGCTTCCTCCTCCTTCGCACGGCTCCGAACTCCACAGCGTCTCGGCGACGATAAAAGAGCTCCTCAGCCTCCATTCTCGATTTTCGCTCCGAACTCTGCCGTTTGCCTCAGGTGTGGGACTCGCCGTCTTTCCCTTTCCTCCTCCTCCTCTATTCTACCGGCGGAACCATCTAATCCGGTGGGTACCCGACGCCGCCGCTGTGCCGTGTGGTGCCGCCGCACTGCGTATGATTTGCAGGTGCTTGGGGCCAGATCCAGATCCACCGACGGGGTGCTGACGAGGCGGAGCGCGGCAGCACTGGGAGCGGGCTGCTGACGAGGTCTTGGGGCGTGCAGCTGCTAGGTGGGAGCGCCGCCGGCGGCTGGGCGACAACAGGCTGCGTCCTCGGCGTGTTGGTATACCCCTTTTCCGCACTCTCGCCTGTACCTTTCTTCCTTGATTCGTTTGTCGCTTTCAATGGCCGAAATGCTTACATGTTGCGCCGTGTGGTCTTGTGGTCGGTGTGTTTTCTTTTTTTCCTCCTTTCCGATTCTTGTTTGCTGTTTCCCGTGCTCGGGTTCACAGAGGGAAGACGGATCAATATTCGTTGTGGGTGCGTCCTACCTGTCGCTGCTGCAGGGTGTGGTGGTCCGGTGTGGCTTGCCGTATGCAGCCATGGTTACTGAGTTTACCGGAGATGGAACGCCAGTGTACGGCGTCGAGCTAGATTTACCTTGTGTTGGCCCGGTCCGATGCTGTCGTAGCTTTTTCTTCTAGGCGTCCATGGAAGATTGTTGCGCTCCTGGTTATGAGCAGGCTGCCCTGCAGGCCATAGGTTTCCTGCAGAAGATGTACGGGTTCTTTTGGAGCTCTTTTGGAGCTTGCCATAGGCCATAGAGATCTTTTGGAGCTTTCCTTTTCTTAACAGCCAGGTGCTGCAGTTTGTCACATGATCGGCCTTCTCTGACGTTTGCTGTAGTTGGTCCCAGATGGCGAGTCGTCGTGCACGTCCTGCATCTCGCCTTGTTCCTGGAGAGTCGTGTATGTGTCTGTGCTGCTCTTTTGGTAATCTTCACGGTTATAGCCCATTGGTCAGACCATTGAAGCATCTCTTATTTGTTTCGTTGCTTTTGACCTCCCTAGCTTCTTCACGGATAACTGCCCCTTCGAACTCTGCTCCCCGCAAGAGACAGTGTACGTGTTTCTTGCTGTGCTTCCCATGTTCTATTTAGTCTACAGCCATGTTGGCCTTGGATACTTAAGTGTCACTTTCCTATAGCGGAGGGTGCATACTATATACCCAGCACGCTCCCAGCTGCTGAGTGTCGGAATAAGCGGAGGAAGTATTTAAACCAGAAGAAGATTGCCAAGTCAGGTGTTCACTCTTTAGGTTGCCATCCTAGCTGGTTTCTCTTTAGATACACCCGTACTGATGTGCCTGCTATGTTGGCCCGGTTTTGCTTTATTAGGCCCTTTAGATGGCGTTGGTGCATCCGGCTGTGGTCACTTCACCCAAGAGTATATTGATGCGCTTAAAGGTTTGGCTTAATTTTTTTTTGCTAGGTTCACTGTTGTTTTTCTAGGGTACTAAATGCCATCCTCTCGCTGATTTTGTGTCTATTTTCATGTTCTTCGTGTTCGCGGATGCTTTGGGGTGGCCCACGCCTGTGCCTAGATTCCTATGTCGGTCGTTCGTCTTATGGGGCACCAGATTATACGTGTAGACACTGTGGTGCCATATTTTGGTTGCGTGAGTGTGCTGCTGGTCAGTCCAGTTTAAGAGATGGCAGGGTCATTTACAATTCATGCTGTAGGGGTGGCAAAGTAGTAATAGCTCCTTTTAGAGACCCTCCTGAACCCATTGCTTCGCTGGCCAGATTTGATGGTGATGCTAATTGTAGACAGTTCATAAAGAATATACGCCAGTACAATTGCCTGTTTGCTTTCACATCCATGGGTGCAAACATTGATAGATCTATGAATAATGGTCGTGGCCCTCCTGTGTTCAAAGTGTCTGGCCAGGTTCATCATCGTATAGGACCTCTTCTTCCAGCCAATGGCAACTCATCGAAATTCTTGCAGCTCTATATATATGATACAGCGAACAATGGCTTTTTCGATGCTGCCCACCTTGCGCCCTAATGACTGGCGTGCGGTCATCTGTGTCCGTGTCTGCCGCAAGTGGGAGTATCGCGGTGGGACCGATGATGGTCTGGTACAGCACGTGGACCTTGTGCTTCTTGATGAACAGGTTGGTCAGTCTATCATTGGTGAAGGTCGGCTCCCAAGCAATTTTTACTGGTCCATGTATCTCTCCATTTATTTATGCTGGTTTCCTTTTTTCCACTATAGGGCAACAGTCTCTATGGTGAAATCCCTAGACCTGAGGTTCATGCAAAGAGCCCGCTCATAGATGAGGGGGGCATCTATGTGATTGATCGATTTAGGGTCTCCAATGCGAAGGCAGCCTACAGGCCTGTTGACACCCCCTACATGGTTGAGTTCACACTGCACACCACTGTGTCAGTTGCAAGAAGTGGCATGCCTGACTTCCCAAAATATGCGTACAAGATCACTCCTATAGATGGCCTTGCTGCTCATTCTGGTGACACTAAGAACTTCCATGGTGAGTTATACCTATATAAACTCTGTGATTTTAATTCAGTTTTTCTTTGTGAGTTCATATCTATACAGACTCTGTGATTTGAATTCAATGTTGTCTAATATAACTGTACTTTCCCTAATATTGTTGCAGATACCATTGGAACACTGGTGGAGGTATCTGACATCCACACTGTGCATCTGCCTAACAAACCTGCGCCCACGCTCTCCAGGCACATTGTTCTTAGGGACCTTATGTGACACATTGTGCTCTCCATGCCTACCCTTTCCATGGCATGACTACACATTTCCTAATTCTCTTACTTAAACCATTGTGCTCTCAATTTCAGCTATTCTGAGATAAAGATCACTCTGTGGGGCCAAAGAGCCACTGCGTTCTCTATTGAGGGTGTCTACGACAGCAATGAAGCCAAGCCAATCGTTGTCCTGTTTGTTGGAGGACTGGTGAAATCTATCCAAGGTATTAGCACTGTTCTATTTCTTCTGTGGTCCAGTACATGCTGAGTAGTAGTATGCACTCCTCTATTGATTCCCAAGAGTCTGAACATCATATCCATGAAATTCAAGCAGCTACTACCTAAGTGGCAATACAACATGCCGTTGGTATTTCAATCCAACGATTCCAGAGGCGCACCAGTTCTATGCGAGGTACATTCTGTTACCCAAATACAGCTCATGACCCTTCCTTTACTTGGCGCTTTGCCAACTTTACCTAATGTGTCGTCTCCACCCAGTTTCCACAACCAGAGGCTTCAGATAAGGTCAGTTGCAGCACCAGATCCAAGTCCGTGTACCAGCACAGCTTGATGAGAAGAACCTGAAACATCTAAACGACATGAACCCATATGAATTCTCTGTAAGAAGCAACCTCATTTCATTCTGATTTTACCCAGGCCACTTTTCCCTTCTACCCATTTTACATTCCTCTCCCCAACATTACAGGAAAATCGATACCGCTGCACTGTCACTATTGGACGCCTTGTTCCCAACACATCATGGTGGTTTCCATCTTGCAACAAATGTAGCAAGTCCTGTCTGCCAGATGGTACTGGATATAGATGCATTCCATGCTCAAACACATCGTTCAAGTTCAAGTAAGTGCTTCTTCCACTGTTTGCTTGCTTCCCAATCTCATAGTAGGATACACCTACATACTGAATGCAAACTGACAACAGGCACAAGGTGTGTTTCATAGCCCTCGATGGCACTGATGAAGCTGAGATGGTTTGCTTTGGAGACATTGCTCGTCATATGATTGGGAAGCCTGTCCAGCAACTTTTGAGGACATCTACAAGTGCTAATGCATATCCACCTGATATAACAAAGCTGGTCTCTCTTAGATTCACTTTCGTAGTTACAATGACCCGTCAGAGCTACTACAGGGCCCAGAAGACCTACAATGTTGCATCTCTGGTGACAGCACATGGGCATCCTGTTGCTGTTCCGGCCAATGCTGCACGTGGTAATGCTGGAAACAAAGACCATGGCCATCTTGGTGCCGCTGAATCTGGTGATTCCTTGGGTACAAGTGATGGTGCAGATACACATCAGCTGTTGTCTGCTGGTACACCGGATGGCACTCTGTCTTCACCAGTCCCTTTAAACGTATGTTTCTTCTAACACCTAGATTTAGTGGCGTTGTTTCAAGGCTTTTGTGTGCGATGATCACAATCCTTGCTTCCTGCAGACTCCACCGCCCAAGCTTGATGGCCTTGAAACACCGGTGTCGAAGAAACATTCTAGAAGGTAATATATTTGCTCTGTGCCTCTCCAACACATTCACCATATGTCTGTTCATCTGCGTTTGATTGCTCCTCATCCACAGTGGCCCATCCAAGAGCAGCAACCATCCTTCCTCTCGCCGTAGGCTTTTCAAAGAGGGTACTGGTGCTGACATTGCTGATCCAGATGGTGCAGGCGCAAGGTATGCAGTCATCATGCTCTTGTAGTCTAGGCCAACTACTAGCTTTCAGAACATCTCATGGCTCAAATGTGATTCACTATTCCTTGTTGTTAGCCATTTCTTCATGATTTAGAAAAAAATCGTACCTCCTTATTTTAAATGAACTTTATCATACATATAAAATCAAAGGCACCATTCAATTGTTACACCAAGGCTAAACAATGTGATAATGCTGTACACCTCTCTTCAGAAGAACTAATTCTTTGCCTCTGATGCAAAGTCATCTCAACAAATATGGAAAAGATGAGATTATAACCCATGCCATCTCCTGTGTGCCTTCTTACAGCGCTGCGTCTGACAAGACTTAGGCTCCTGAAGATGACCGCTCCTCTGGGGAACCTTCTACCGCTCAGGAGAGCGGCTAGATAAGGCATGCCCCCTAACTTCAAACCTGACTCTTCCCTGGAATCGATAGATTTTGCAAATTAAGAAAGATCCATTATTGTCCGCAGGTACATTCAGCGGCTCCCATGCTTTTGGTTGGACTGGCTCACTAACACCTGCCGTCCAGAGAAGACTTCTGCCTATTTTTTTGGTGGCGTGGTATCCTCTGCAATGAAAATTAACCCGTCATTCTCTGTCTGTTAGCTTGGCCCCTGTATCGGCCCCCAGGCAGCAACAACTTCTTTTAATAGACCCTTGAACTGGGCATGAGTATGTAAACTCTTTAGTTTATTAGTGGCCCTCTCGCTGGCCTCGTGCATGTTCCCTGGTTATGTCGTGGTTCAACGGGCATGCACCTCGAAACAATTAGCGTCGCTGAATCGACAATAGGAAGGCTGTGTCCTTGCTTAGCTCCCTGGTCAAACTGATGTAGCTTAAATTTGGTGTCCTGTTTAGACTCTTTAGTGCAGCGAGAAACTGCTCCTATATGTTACTCTATCTGTTTCTGTGCTGAATTTGTTGTGGTCTCCAATATATAGCAGCCTATATCATGATAGACAGTATCCTACATGAGCGCCTATAATATTTGTTATTTGTCAGCATTGTGCCATTTTTCAGATAGATTTTCGGCCATTTCTCGCGCGCATGGGCGCGCGCAAATCACTAGTTTATAATGGGAGACTGGGACGAAGGCTTCGATTCAATGCATCGTAAAATTACTAGAAATGCTCACGGCAAGCAGTGTGTGGCTTGATTCCTTACTTTATATAAGTAAAATTCCTAGTAATTAAATTCAACAGATGAAATTATCCTCAAGTGATACATGTGTATTCCTTACTTTATAAGTAAAATTCCCCGTAATCAAATTTATTGGATAAAATTATCCTCAAGTGAAAGCATCTCTTGAAGATAAAGGATCATGTTGTGTTGATAGAGTTCCTCTGTTGATCAGTAGTTTCTCTATCTCTTATCCATCCAAGAAGCATACAGGTCGTCCTCTTCTATCCAGCGCAAGGAGTAGCAGCAGGAAACTCCTTTCGTTGGATAGCCATTATTGGTTGCCAAGGAGGTAATGCTCATATACACAGTATTATTGGAGATTGGTAATATTCAGCAACCAGGATGGTAATTTAGTAGCTAAGGTTTAGTTCCTTAACAGAAGAACTATGGCAACATTGTGGGCAGTGAGAAATTCTCAACAGAGCATACTGCTTACAACCTTGCCATTACAGAAACAGAGGCAATGAACATAATCTTTCTCCTCAAAAGGTAGATACGCATCATCTATGTTGTTCTATGTTGCCCAAAAAAATTCTAGGCTGTCGAAAGCCATGTTTTCGACCGAAAGTCACATAGTAAGAGCATCAGTTAACAAAAGTTGTATCCACAACTGTAAGCAAAAGCAGCCGTCCACATTGCCTTGCCCTGTACACCAAAATATCCTTCCGTTTAGTTTCCTTGCTGTTAGCTGTTTGGCTCTGCCATAGAGAAAAAAAATCAGGAAGCATATTGTCGGTGTTTCGAACCACCGGCTAGTAAATTTGTATTTGCGTGTCTGGCCCGGATGGTGTGCTTAGGCCTGGATATCAAGCCAGCTCGGCTCGTTACAGCTCGGCTCGTTATAGCTCGGCTCATTAACATACTGGCTCGATTTGGCTCGTTATACAAATGAGCCAGCAGAGTAGCTCGGCTCGGCTCGCTAAAAAGCTCGAGCTAGCTCGTTTGGCTCGTGAGCCAAATCTTAAAAACACAATACAGGGAGATTATAAAAGCTAGTGAGCAATAAACACAAAGTACTTATAAATTTAACAATAGAGAATATAATCCATCCATCGATTGATCCACAATTCCACAAAGTTTTTGTTCAGCCAGCCCACCACGACCGTGACCATGAGTCCATGATAGTCATACTCATACAGTTTACACATCACTACATCAGTACATCACCCATTCATCCATACAGAATTCAAGAATGAAGCAAAATAAATGAGCTACAACTTGAGTGGTAAACTAATCAGTTTTGCAGGTAATATATATACACCAAAAGCAAGTCAAAAGCAGCCATGGAGCGTAGCCAACATGTCCCTAGTTCTGTCCCCCCTTTAAATCTTGTTACCTGTATGTGAAGAACACATCAAGTGATAACAAATATGATATCCACCACAGTGCTGGACATTCTAAAATAGACTTACTGGTTGCTTTCCACCACACTGCTGGGAAGCTCCACACTCTCAATGTCACCATCATCACCATCTTCTCCCTATAAAAACAGTAAAAGAATTAAGCATTACATATTTACATACACAAACTTTGGGGAAAATGGAGTTGAAAAATAGACTAAAAATCACATACCAGAATAATAATAGGACTTTTAGAACCTCGTATCCAGCTAGATGCACAAACTAGTGCTTGAACTGTCGCTGGCTTCAAAGAACTCCTATAGTCATCGAGAATTCTACCTCCACAACTGAAAGTGGACTCAGATGATACGCTACTAGCTGGGACAGCTAAGAACTTCTTTGCCATACTAGACACAACAGGAAATCTAAGAGCATTCACCTTCCAATAGTGAAGTAAGTTAAAATTCTTATCATGTAAAGGATGGTTTTCTTCATCTAGGTAGATAAGTAACTCAGATTTTGAACTTTCTGAAGCACTTGACTCTAGAAAAGACTGAAATTCACTTGAAACAAGACAAGCCACTGAGCTGGTTGTTTCCTTTGATGATGAGGCTGATTGAGTGGTTGATGAGCTGCTACTGCCACCCATTTTCCGGCGTTGCTCCAACTCATGCTTCTTGTAGAGCTCTTCTAACTCTTTTTTTATATCAGCAACCTCTTGTTTACACCTTGAGAAGTCATAAAGCTGACTAAAATAGAACTGAATATATCTCATTTTGAACCTAGGGTCAAGGATTGTAGCAATAACCATTACATTGTTCTTCTCTTTCCAATATTTATCAAATTTGTCTAACATTGCAGCAGTCATTTTCTTCAAATATGGGTCCTTAGAATTTTTTGCCTTCAACAATGCAATCTTGACTTTCAAAATGTAAGGGTAGAAGACATTAGCAGTAGGGTAAACTGATCCTGAAAATGCAGTGGTTGCTCCAGCCATCTCTCCTAGAATTGGTCTAATCTTCTCATATATGTTCCATTCAGATTCTGTAGGTTTCCATGCATAGTTCTGGTCTACTTGAGCATAATAACCAAATGCAGACCTATACTCAATGCAAGTGTCAAGCATTTTATATGTTGAGTTCCACCTTGTTTTAACATCAAGAGACAAACATTTCCTAACTTTAATAGCATAATCATTGCAAACCTCTACAAATTTGTACAGGCGACTTGGAGACCTCTTGAAATATTTCACAGTATTCCTTAGGTCACTTATGAGACCTTCTATTTGGTCTAGACCATCATTAACAACCAAATTGACTATGTGAGCAGCACAACGAACATGAAAATATTGGGGATCAAACTGACCATTCTTTCTAGCAAGCAGCTTGGCTGACAAATTTGTAGTAGCAGTATCATTATTTGAAGCATTATCAAGGGTGATTGACATAACCTTATCCTCTATTTTCCATTCCACCAAGCACTCAAAAACAGCATGAGCTATCACCAAACCGGTGTGGGGAGGATCTAACTCAATAAAGTTAAGAACACGGCATTGCAAAACCCAATCACTATCTATGTAATGTGCCACCAAACACATGTACTGAACATTTTGATTGGATGTCCACAAATCAGTTGTCAAACTTATTGATTCAGCCTCTCTAAGACTCTTCTTTAGCTGCTCTTTCTCAGATTCATAAACTTTCATGCATTCATTTTTAATAGTCTTCCTACCAATACATTCATAGTTGCTATTCATCCACTTCATCAAGATATTAAACCATTTATGCTCAACCATCCTAAATGAATACTCATGGACAATTATCATCTTTGCAATCAATTTTCTAGTGTGCTCATGGTCATATTCAGGTGAGGATTAAGAACAAGATGACCATCATCCGCAATATAGTTGAGTGTACCTTGAGCAAGTTGTTGTTTAGCCTTAGCAAGCTTATTCTCAAACTGTGTGCGGCCGGGCAAGGTGGCGGTTCAACTGTGAAGTTGCTCCCCACGGACGGTATACATAACTCTTATGATGAATCTACACTTAGCCTTTGTCACCATAACACCAAACTCCTTCGCAGATTGAACACTTATCTCCTTGAAATACTTCCAACAACCAGCCCTCTTTCCTCTCTTTACCTTGGTATTAGAAGGAGATAAATGAATACCATTGACCTTCAATTTCTTCCGCCTCTAGTGCCTTTGAAGAATTTGATGGCACGCTTACATCATCTCCATCCTCCTCCTCCCGACTTTCATCATCATCGACGGCATGCTTACAGATATAGCGGTAACATCATTCATGTCAAAGTTCTCTCCGCCATCCTCATCCTCCGCCAAAGGCTCGATGTGCTACATAGATTACATACATGTCAAAAATCAATTTCTTTGCACAACTAGCGACCTAGCGCATGACTACTGATCTACATATTACACAAATCACATATGCTCACATGAATAAACATAAATATATTGGCATAGTGGCATCCCGCTTGCGGTTGCACATGTTCACACGAATCACACACATGACACATTCTAGGCTACTGAGATCAAAGCATCAAGAAAAATACATACCGTGTCCGCTTTCTACCGATATGGAGGCCGATGGAGTAGTGGACTTTGCGGCTACGGATCTCGACCACGACCACGGCCACCGCGATTGATTGCCTATCAAGGCGGCACCATCTTGTGTTTTCTCCTCGATTCAAGACTTGCCGCCACCGGAGGAAGCATCCCTCGGACCTCTTCCTCATCCTCCATGACTAGCTCGAGCTCGGGATGGGATGGGGCAAGCCGGCGAGCTG